TTTGAAAATTTTCAAAGCAGCCTCCACTTCAAAAAAAAAAAAAAGAAAAGAAAGAAGAGTTCTAATTAGAGAATTAATTACTTTAATCATAATGATTAAACGAAAGTTTAATTGGGGTGATGGAAGGTTGAAGAAATAGGTAGTGAAAATTTGTGAATGACTCATCTTGATGCAGAAGCATTGTAAAAGAAATAATTTATATTATATATATATATACATATATATATATATATATACAAAACTGGAATAGTTTGATTTGGTCAAGGTAAACGGTGAGCAGCCAAAATATAAAACAAATTAAACAATATCTTCTAGCATCCATCACATAATATACCTTCCTCTCTTCAGTCAATTTATGACCATATAATATATATTTGTATATATATATATGTGTGTGTGTGTACGTTCTCCTATTCAAGAGTTTACCATATATGATGAAGACGTAAGACGTGGTGCCTAAACTCTGGAATCCATCTGTTTTATTATATATATAGAAAAAATACTTTTCAACTCCCTTTGTCTTGTGTGTGTGTGTATATATATATATAACCACGTAGTACTACGTCCTTAAAAATCTTTGGAAGTGAGGAGAAAGAAAGAAAGAAAGAGAGGCAGAAGGCATTGTATTATAGATTGATTACTATAGGTAGGTGAAAATTAAGATGAAAAAGGTGTTTGTTAAATATTGTTTGATGTTAATGTTGATGGTGGGAATTAATGGAGAAGAGAAGAAGATAGGAGTAAAGGTGGGTGTTGTTCTTGACATTGATAAAGTGATTGGGAAGATAAGCTCCACGTGCATCAATATCTCTCTCTCTGATTTTTATGCAGCTCATCCCCACTACAAAACCAGGCTGCTCGTCATACCCAGGAACTCCAAAACCGATGTTGTCACTGCTGCGGCTTCAGGTTTTTTTGCTTTAATCATCTCTCTCTCTATATATATATATATTTATGTATAAAGACAATTTTACTTCTCATTTATTTGCTTGGTTGTGTGTCTGTCTATATATATATATACATATGCATCTTCTCAAATTTTCTTCTTGTTCGATTCCTTTTTTTTTTTTTTACATAAAATTTATTAATAATTCCACTTTTTCTTTTTTAATTTTAATGAGAAATACTACGCCGCTGTATACCTAGCTATTACATAAAATTAAATAATTAGTTGAAATTAATTAAATATTATTATCTTATATCTAGTTATATAATATATATATATATATATACACATATATTAGTGTTAGTAATTGATGAGGGTTTGAAAATGGTGTATATCTTCAATAACTATTAATAATATAGTTTTTGAGTAATATTATCAATTTTTATATATTAATTTTTAAAATTAATCGTTTGGTCAATAAATTATTTATTCAAACTTCTGGATATACGCCTTATAAAATGTCAATAATGGAATCCAATTTTTAAAAATATATATTTATTTCCATTCCTTACCCGAATTCTCACGTAAGACAAGAGCCACTCATTAACAACAACGATGGGAATCTTGAAAGGATTTTCTAGTCAATGTCCCTACTTTTTCAGATCTTATGGAAAATTACAAAGTCTTATTTTGTGGCTCCAACATCTTTCAGACCTAGACAGTAAAAGGATGCAACCCAAGAACCATACGTCTTATTGGTACATGTGTATATGTATATACACATATTTTGTAATAAAAAGTTCATAATTTATTAGAATTGAGAAAATTATATTCTATTTTTTTTACAATATAAACAATATTCTTTTAACATCTTAACATTTTGATGTTAAGCTGAAGGACAAATGTTGTTTGGTCGATGTGAAATGCAGCTCTAGACTTGATAAAGAACGTACAGGTGCAAGCAATTCTTGGACCAGAGAATTCAATGGAGACTGGCTTTGTAATAAACTTGGGCAACAAATCTCAAGTACCAATCATCTCCTTCTCTGCAACGAGCCCTTCCCTTGCTTCTAAGCGCAGTCCATATTTTATCCGAGCCACACAGAGCAGCTCATTTCAAGTAAAAGCCATTGCCGCCATTGTTCAAGCCTTCGGTTGGAGAGAAGCTGTGCCCATTTACGTGGACAACGAGTTTGGCGAAAGCATCATACCTTACTTAACTGATGCTTTACAAGACCTCGATGTCCGGGTACCATACCGGAGCGTCATCTCTCCATCAGCAACCGATGATCAACTACTTCAAGAGCTTTTCAAGTTGATGACGATGCAGACACGGGTTTTTATGGTTCACTTGTTGCCGTCTCTTGGATCTAGGATCTTTTCCAAAGCTAAAGAGATTGGCATGATGAGGTCGGGTTACGTTTGGATCATGACAGATGGGATGACAAATCTGATGAATATTATGGATCGAGGAGAGCTTGAATCCATGCAAGGTGTGTTGGGTATCAAACCTTTTGTTCCAATATCAAAAGAACTTGAAGATTTCAAGGTTCGATGGAAAAAAGAGTTCAGTACAAAAAAACCAAGTCTTCTTAATGCTGAGCTTAACATTTTTGGGTTATTGGCATATGATTCTGCTATGGCATTGGCAACGGCAGTTGAAAATGCAGGCACTAGAAACATAGAATATGATGATTCTCAAGTTTCAGGAAATTCATCAGACCTGGAAAGTTTTGGCATCTCTTTGTATGGTCCCAAACTAAGGCAACAAATATCGAATATAAGATTCAAAGGGCTAACGGGGGATTTTCACATCTTAAATGGGCAGCTTCAGTCATTAACTTATCAGATTATTAATGTAAACGGTAACGAGGAAAGAGGGATTGGATTCTGGACACCAAAAAATGGATTTGTGAAGGAATTGAACTCCACAAACTCAACGGTGTATTCTACTTCAAAAGCTAATCTTGGACGTATTATTTGGCCAGGGGGATCCAGTGCTACTCCTAAAGGATTTGAGATCCCAACAAATGGGAAGAGGTTGAGAATTGGAGTCCCGAAGAAGAAAGGTTTTAGTGAGTTTGTGGAGGTGACTAGAGACCCTGTTACTAACAGAACAAGTGTCACTGGTTTCTGTATAGACGTTTTTGATGCTGCAATGAGACAAATGCCTTATGATGTCTCTTACGATTATTTTCCTTTTGAAACTCCTGATGGCAACCCTGCTGGCAGCTATGACGAGTTAGTCAATCAAGTGTATCTTGGGGTCAGTTTAAGTTTACTATCTTTTCTTCATTTTACTATTCTTGACTTGTCTCAAAATGGGTCTCGAAACTTTTATAACAAGGTACTGTTTCTTGTTTTATGACCAGAACTATGATGCTGTTGTTGGAGATACGACGATATTGGCGAACAGGTCCTGGTTTGTAGACTTCACATTACCATACACAGATTCAGGAGTGTCAATGGTGGTGTCAATCAAGGACAATAAAGAGAAACATGCATGGGCGTTCCTGACGCCTTTGACTTGGGATCTTTGGGTGACAAGCGCTTGCTTCTTTGTGTTCATTGGATTTGTCATCTGGGTGCTTGAGCACAGAATCAATGAAGATTTTCGTGGGCCTCTTGAGCATCAAGTCGGCACTAGCTTCTGGTTTTCTTTCTCCACCATGGTTTTTGCTCAGAGTAAGTTTTTCCAAACTTTCCTTCGGAAGAGAATTAAACTATATTACATAAAATATATGTGTTTTTTACCTCTATTATCCAACATTGCAAAAAGAAAGAGGAGAAAGTGTTGGAAAAATAAGAGCTGACCAGCAAAATAATTTAAATCACAGAGGAATTTTGTAGAATACTGAAGCTGATTTTCTGGATATTGATCAGCAAAAAGAAAGTGTCTGATTATAGGCTTCTAAAGAAACTGCACCTGCTAAAAATCAGTCCATAAATCCTTTCACTATGCCCATTACCCAACTAAAAGTTACACGCCTAACAAATAGGAATTAATCACAACTTACCCAACTAAGTAAAAGATACTTAAAGTATAATTTTGAATCATTCTTCAACAGAAAGTCTTGAAAACATTTGTGCAGGGGAAAGAGTAGTAAGCAACTTGGCCAGATTTGTAATGATCATATGGTTCTTCGTTGTGCTTATATTGACGCAAAGCTACACAGCCGGCTTGACCTCGCGTTTAACGGTGCAGCAGCTGCAGCCAACAGTGACCAGCATAGATGAACTGTTGAAGAAAGGGGAGAACGTGGGTTACCAAAGGGGTTCTTTTGTTTTAGGTATCTTGAAGCGACTGGGTTTTAACGAATCCAAGCTCATACCTTATGACTCTCCTGAACATTGCAATGCTCTCTTCTCTAATGGAACTGCCAAAAATGGTATTGTTGCTGCTTTCGACGAAGTTCCCTACATGAAGGTTTTTCTTGGAAAGTTCTGCAACAAATATACCATGATTGATCCGACTTTCAAGATTGATGGATGGGGTTTTGTAAGTTCTTTTTACTTTAAGCACACACCTAACAGTTTATTCTTCCTCAATTCTCCAATTGTACTAGTTAAACTAAAGGCTACCCTCCACACACATTACAGGTTTTCCCAAGACGGTCACCTTTAGTGCCTGATGTTTCAAGGGCAATCTTGATTGTTACAGAGGGAGGCACCCTGACAAAAATTGAAAATGCATACTTCAGAGAACAAGGCATGAATTGCTCAGAGGAAAACAACTTGGTATCTTCCAACAGTATGGATCTTAATAGTTTCTGGGGTCTGTTCCTGATTGCAGGCATTGCTTCACTGTCAGCTCTCTTAATATTCACAATCATGTTCTTGTACCAGCATAGGGAAGTTTTGATGAGATCTGATTCCACAGAGTCGGTATGGAGAAGAATACTTGTTTTGTTGAGAATCTTCAACCAAAGAGATCTGAGCTCTCATACTTTTAAGAAATGTGAAGATAGGAGTAGAAGTAGTCATGATCATGGCCTGGTTTCCATTGAAGCATCACCCAACAGACATTGCCCGCCTACCCCATCAACCACATCTAATAATACTCGGTATCCATATAGTCCATCTACCTTTTATAATACTAACTGCCCACCTAGCCCATCAGATTTCTCAAACTGTTTAGATTCGGAACTCCCTTTTTCTAGAGCCCATAGAGCACCTTCTCACGAGAACGGTGGAGCAAACCCAAATGGACAAGCTCCTCAAGAGATTGTTTTAGCCACTGAACTCACTCACTCGACTCCGTCAACAACAGTAACTTTCGAAATAACCCGCGAAAACAACTAGATACGTATATTTTTCTGTCCAATAGACAAGGAACTAGTCAATTACAAGTAGAGTATTCATTGTAAATTGTCCTAACTTAATACTAGAGTAAAGTGATTCTAAATTATTTGTAAATGCTAATCTTATGGAAAGGAGAACAGATAATTGTAAGTTTGAAGTTTTATGTATGGTGGGTTAAGATGGGGGCTGTATCACCATCAGTAATTCCAATGTAAGTATTAGTAAATTACAAGCAAAATAAATCTATGCCTATTTTCCATCTCCGATATGTAATTTTTTTCCTACCCTTGTCTCCTTCCTAGGGAAGAAAGAGGAATTTTTCATCAGTATTTGGAGGCTTTTTCCTCTCTTTTTTTTTCGTTATATTATTTTATTCATTCAAAATAAAAACCTAAAAACATTTTGATTCAAATATTTAATTATTTTATACAATTACAGTGAAAACACTTAAAGAATTCAATGCAAATATTAAAAAAATATTCAATTTACATGATAAAAATATTTAAAAAATATTTTACTTATTTCACACATTTTTATTTGAGATGTACCATACACAAACTTTTTCATTCATTTAGTTTCAAGGCATTTAATTTGTACATGCATATACATTTCTTATTTCCTAACTAAAACATTTCTATTTTCTTAGTTTTAATTATATGAAAATATTATATAAGTATTTTCTAACTTAAAAATACATATATGATGATTGAGAACGGAACAGAGACTAGATGAGGAGTCACTCCATCCTCACCTTCGCTCTAAATAAAACAATTCTTTTCGTATTTCGCTTAAAATTAAAGTCAAATAAAGAGTTTAATCATGTCCCTTTAATAAATCTCCCGCAAAGATATTTTGAACCGAGATAAAATTATCATCCATAATTATATGAAATTAGAGTCAATTTCCCATGTATTAAAATTTCAATAATAATAGATGTTAAACCTTATGATTAAAAAAGCTAGAAAAAAAGAAAGTAAAAGCCTTAAAGATAGATAGCTTACTTCGATTGAATTTCCACATTGTCCCTTAGCTACTTGATCCCAACAAGATTCTTTCTTCTTGTATTTGTTGTCATTCGCTTTATATCTTTATTTTTTTAGAGCTTATCATATTAGTCATATGGTCGTTTATCTATCCTTTGGAATTATGCATGAAGACTTTGATAATAGCATGACACAAAGAAAGCTAGACGGTATAAAGCTTTTAGATATAATTGGCTTTGTTGGGCAGACAAAATACATTCTAACAACTAATCTAAAATTTTCTTGTTTCTTTATAAATATTTTTATGCCTTTTAGATGTCGTAAGTTATCTCTCTCTTTTTTTTTAACCCCTCATTTTCTAAGATATTTAGACATTTTCATATATTGATAATTCACCTTATTTTCATATGTCTTATATAACAATTTCATATATTAGCTAAACTAAAATCCATTGTGTCAAATTTATAACTAACTTTATCATAAGCTCTATATATTAATGGAATTTAAATATACTTTTGTTATTCCCACATTATCATGTTATCACAAAAGTGAGGGTTCCAAACATCATGGTAGAATCTAACTTCTTTATTACAAGTCATCTTGAGCTTGGCATTACTACTCTCTACTACCTTCACCATTTTGACAATTTATGTATCAGCTTTGTCTGCCAAATTTTATTAGGAGATAACTAGTCAAATTATACTCGACCATCATTGAGGCTTTGTAAGCTAAGAATATAATTGACTTTAGCAATGGGATAGTATCAAAATTGTTGCAAACCCATCTAACTTCCTTTTTTCGAACCATTATAATAGCATGATCTTGTATTAGATCCACAACTCAGTCATCAAGGAGATTGTCAATAATCTATCCTAATGCACAAGGTTCAAAGCTCTTATTGATTTTTTTTTTCTCTTATTAGAAGCCAAATATCCTCATATGACCATTATAATGTCCTAGACCTAAGTACCATTAGCTCAACAACCTTTTGGACCTAAACTACTAGTCTTTAAAACCTTAAACTCAAGTTATTGGTGGTTTTGATTTGAACTTTTATATGAAACTCAACTATCACATATATTTTTCATATGGAACTGAGTTATCACAATTCCCACTACTCAAATTCTTAATTTTCTCATCATAAATTATAATTAAAAGGCCCACAAAGTCTAAGAACGTTCCAACTAGAGTCATTAAACTAGAATGTGTTCAAATATCATTTGTAATGTCCCAACCCAATAACTACTAACATAACAATCTTTTGAACTTAAACAATTATTTTTAAAAGTTTAAACTCAAATTATTAATAGTATGTGCTCTTATATAGAACTTTACAATCACATACTTTCTGACGTGGTACTAAGTTATCATAATATTAGTTTTCTGCTAGCAAAACATACTTTCTTCTCGAAAAGAAAAAACACTATAAAAATATCAATGGTCCCAAACTCATTTTGTGAGTAACAAAGTTAAGTCTCAATTGTTAAAGGCTGAAAAGGACTCTTTATGATACTTTAATCTCACATCGATAAGATATGTGATTGTTAAGCTTTATATACGAGTTTAAATTACATACTATCAATAATTTGAATTTAAAATTTTAAGAGCCAGTGGTTGGGTCTAAAAGATTATTAGGGTAAATGGTACTTAACTTGAAGTGTTAGAAAATTCTTCAGCTACTCATTCACAATTACTATTATTAAATGATTTAAAATTTGAATGGTATAAAATATAAATTATTTATAATCGTAGAAATTGTTTATGGTTGCAATTTATCAGTTACTAATATAAAAAGTTGTTTATAATTCATTAAAGTAACAAAAGATAAAAAATATATGTGACGTAAAACACATTTCATTCTTCCTCATTCCTTTTCTTACTTCCAGCACTATTTGCTCAATCCTCTAATATTACCAACAAGTGGTATCAGAGCCCCAGCGATCAAGAAGGATAAAATACAATTTCCACGTAATATAATTTATGACTTTTGCAAACACAACCCAACAACAAGTTGTTTTACTTTTCAATGGTGAAAACTATGCATATTGGAGTATTAGAATGAAGATTGTTTTATGTGCATATGACTTATGGGGAAGTAGTAGAAAATGGTATACCAGGAGTTGAGGGTAATACTAATACATCAACTTGCTGCCTCAGATACAATATTTCTATGTATAATGAATGCCACTTCAGTAAAAGAAGCATGAGATATCTTGAAGAATGAATTTGAAGGAAGAAGAAAAACAAGAATAGTCAAGCTTTAATCATTAAGATGTGAGTTTGAGAATTTGAAAATGAGAGATAGAGAAACCATTAAAGATTATTCTTCAAGAGTAATAGAGCTTGTGAATCAATTTAAAACATCTGGTGATTGCATTACTAATCAATGAATAGTGGAGAAAATGTTGATCACTTTATTAGAAAAGTTTGAGATGATGGTAACTATCATAGAGGAATCAAAAGGCCTAACAATATTAACCACATCAGAGCTTATTGGTTTTCTTCAAGTTCATGAAAAGAAGATCTCAAGGAGACGTGAAACATCTTTAGAATGAGCTTTCTAGTCGAAGTATAAACCTTCATCCTCAAGATCAAATAAAAATAAAGGTTCGAGACAATACAATATGGGGAGTAGTAAAGAAGGAGATAAAAAAGGTAAATTACCTTATTATAAAATTTGGAAAAAAAAAAAAACATAATGAAGAAAGAAATTGTTGGCGTAAGGGAAAGTCACAGTGTAGTTTTCGCAAGAAATTTGATCACATGGAACATGAATAAAAATTTAAAAGGTAACAAGCAAGCATGATAAAGACTATAGATGAAGAAAATCAGGTATTTTATACTTGTCAGAACATATCTAGACAGAAGGATTATTGGCTTATTGATAGTGGATGCAATAATCATATAACCAAGTGTTCTCATGCATTTAGAAAAATAGACACGTTAGTTAAAGTTCCTATCAAAATAGGCAATAGAGCTACAGTAAAATCTGAAGGTAAAGATACTATTATTGTACATATAAAGAAAGACACAAGATTGATAAAAAATGTTCTATACATCCCTAATTTAGATCAAATTTTACTTAGTGTTCCTCAAATGATACAAAATGAGTATTCTCTTTAGTTTAAGGGTAGCTCATGTTCAATATTCGATTTAAAAAGAAACTCAATTACTTACGTGAAAATGCAATAAAAATGTTTTCCTATATAATGGTAGTATACTGCAAGGGAAAAATCAACGTATGCTCAGATGGACGAGGTAACATGGTTATGGCACAAACACTTTGGACACAGTAACTTTTAAAGCTTGAAACTACTTTCATATAAAAAAAAATGGTGAAAGGTCTTCTTGTCATTTTAGAGACAAGTGACATATGTGATGACTGTCAAGTGGAAAAAATGAAAAGGCAATCATTTCTAATGGGACAAACATGGAGAGCATTAAAAAAACTCAAATTAGTGCATACTGATTTATGCAATCCTATAAGAATCCATTCATTAGATAATAACAAGTATTTTATCTTATTTATTGACGATTATTCTCGGATAACAAGAGTCTATTTCATGAAATATCGGTTTAAAGTCTTCAAAACTTTCTGTAAATTCAAGAATTTTATTGAAAAGAAAAGTTCATGTCAGCTTGAGAATTTCAGAAGTGATAATAGAAAAGAGTATACGTCCTCAAAATTCAACAAGTTTTATGATGAAAGGTATACATCATCAGTTTAGTGTTCCATATAATCCACAACGAAATGGTGTATCAAAAAGGAATAATAGAACTATGATGGATATGGTAAGATCGATGCTGAAGGATAAAGGTTTACCTAACAAATTTTAAGTTGAAGCAACATATACATCAGTTTATTTCTAAAATCAACTATCTACGAAAGAAGTTGATTGATGTACACTTATTGAAGCATGGTCTAGACATAAACTATATGTAAGTCACTTAAGAGTATTTAGGTGTATTTGTTACATCTATATACTGGCAGAAAAAACGACACAAGCTTGATGACAAAGTAGAGAAAAGAATCTTCCTTATCTACAGTTCTCAATCAAAAGGTATAGTATATAACCCATACACTTGTAAAGTTCAAGTTAGTAAAGATATTGTGTTTGATGAAAATACTTATTGGAATTAGGAGCAAAATAATATTGATAGGAAGTATGTCACGACTTAACCATTCTAACAAGAAGCTTTCCCACCA